GAATATCACTCATATTGGACTTTTGATTATCGAGGTAGAGTTTTCTGACACGGAAGAGTCTTAACAAGTGCATACGCGCTGCGTCCGAGGAGAAAACGAAAACGTTTTTGAACAAATAGTCAAAGTCACATTTTCTATTGTGGAAGTGCTAGTCTCTTTTTAACTTAAAGATTTTTTATATATTTTGAGTTGTTTTTCTCCATTAAAGAAAATAAAAAGAAATGATGATGGCTTTTTTTGATGATTAAGAAAGAGACGGTTGTTCCCAAAGATGTTTTTATGTAAAAAAAAAGAAAATTAAAGATGTTTATTTTTTGAAGGCGAGGAATCGATTGATCTTCTCTCTAATATGTATTTGTTCGTGCACATTAGTTTGGTATAATTCTTGCTGGGAGAACAACATGAACATACAAAAATGAATTTGACGGAACGTATCGAGAGATATATCCGTACTTTGTTGGGACAGTGTATTGTATTGAATTATATTGCAATAACATAAATAAAACAAAAGAGGAAAACAGTTATTGCCACGATTGGTTAAAATTCGCCATGTGACATTTCTGATGGACTCTCATACGCAGCAGTTTGATTCAGGCGCGCGTTTCAAGAAAAATCGCTAATGATGTGCAATCTTTTCTTTAGTATTCTAGTTTTTAAAATTAATTGATCTATTTTTCATAACAGTTCAAGAAATTTACAAATTCTTTTTATTTGTATGCAAATTTTATAATCGTGATGACGTCATATTTACTCTAGAAACGTCACGTGAATCACTCTTTAACTATATAAACGACTGGCAAGAAAAAATTCATTATTAGCAACTTGTCTTGTTTGAAATCATACATTTTATTCCAAAGCGCTAAGTCGTATTTTATTTATTTATCTATTCGTACACGTATTTCTGTTCAATTTAAACGTCTTACAATGCAAATTTTTGTCAAAACCCTCACTGGGTATGTATGAAAAGTTTTTTTACATATATGTTTACGTGTCAGAGATTAAAAACCTGGCAAGTTAGGATGATGAGTGAGTTCAAAAACCAGTTTTAAAGTCTCATCAAAACGAGTAAAAAGAAAAAGTAAACATTCCACCCATATAAGATCACATTATATAATGATCCTTTTACTACTTTTATAACAAAGCTGTTTAGGAATTTACTAAATAATTCGCTAAATGACGCAATAATCAATATTCACGAGACAGTGGTAGAATAGGATTGTTAACAAGTCTTTTGTTGAGTTCTGCCCATTATGATATCGGATAAGACAGTACACTGTTTTCTCCATATTTTTAGTAAAACAATCACACTCGAAGTTGAACCAAGTGACACTATTGAGAATGTCAAAGCGAAAATCCAGGACAAAGAAGGTATACCACCTGATCAACAACGTCTCATTTTCGCTGGAAAACAATTAGAAGACGGCCGCACGTTATCAGATTACAATATACAAAAAGAGTCAACCTTGCATTTAGTTCTTCGTTTACGTGGTGGAATGCAAATTTTCGTC